CGCGTCGCGTCGCGCGTCGTCGTCGTCGTCTCTCTCTCTCTCTCTCTCTCTCTCTCTCTCTCTCTCTCTCTCTCTCTCTCTCTCTCTCTGTCTGTTTCTCTCTTCTGCTCTTCGGGGCACCGATACACGGGTCCTCTTTCTCTTCGGCCTTTCTCGCCGTCATATTGTTCGCTATTGACAGATACGATTCAATGGAACGGCACGGGACCGTGGTGGCCGCGAGTTTGACGTACAAGCGCCAACCGCGCGCGCTACCACCTCTCAAGGTGCGCAGAAAAAGAAGATCCCGTCCCTTTCGATCGTCATCAGGCGGGCAGCTAGTCAGCGAAGATGACGCGACGAAAAGAGGGACGGGTGATCGAGTAAGTTCAACCGCATCGTCGGACAAACGTAGGCTGCAACGCGGTTTCGATGATACCTCGAACGGGCCGTTTTCTTCTCGCGGAGTTCTCCGTTTCTTCCTGTCGGTTGGAATTCCCAATAGCGAGCAGGTGGCGAGTCACGCACGTTCTAGCAATCATTCCAAGACGACGGGAGATATAATAGGAGATTCCTTCGGCCTTTTATTGCGCTCGCGTTTTTGTCTTCGTCCCTTTCTTCTCCGCCTCTGCTGCCGCCGTTGCTTCTGCCGCTGCTGCCGCGACGTTGGTCTTTCTTGTTCTTGTTCTACCGAGAACGCTCGACATGAAGAGCGCAGGCACATACTTGGCTTACGCCAATGGCGTGATGCTTGATTACTATCTAATTTGTATCCCCGTAAAACTCCTCGGAGTGTTGCTGCAAATAAATAAAATTGTCACCATATTAAGGTCACGCCATAAAATTTATTTATAATATTGCTATCGCAGACCTCCCATAATTTGTTTTGCAATCACGATTGTGACAGTCATGAAACTATCGCTCTTGATATTATAAAGATCGACTATTTATCCTTTGTCATGTATCAACATTGTGCTATCAGTATTCCGTCGATTGTTCAAGTGAAATATCTCCCCATTTTCGTACAGCTGATTCACTTTATATTCAAAGCGAATTATGAAGTATGAAGTACGGAGTCGTAACACGAAACGTGACAGGATAACGAGTTTTCCAACAGCACAGCCTTCCTCATTACATCGCAACTCGGCGTTTCCGTTATAAAGATTTATGCTTGTAAATTGTTAATTAATAGCACAACTCGGAAGTAGCTTAACAAAGTTAGTCTGCGTTCTCGTTACGAAATGGCCATTTCTGGCCATTTTTCATACGACAATGCTGTCGATTGGACTTAATCCACGTGCGAATTTCGCACGGTCGGATTTTGACGCGGCCCGCTCGAAAGCCCCTACGGTAAACGTTTGTAATTATCTCGGTGGAATAAAGGGATGTAATTATCATCGAAAGCGGGAGGCACGCGGCTCGCCGATGTTGGATGGGCCTTGCCTCCGTTCCCGTAGGGCTTTTCTGTATATACGCATTCGTGGGAGGATTTAATCGACAGCGTCGATCGAATCGGCTCCGAAAGCACTGACACGAGAAATCGAGACAATGGTAGACCACCGACGAGCGTATTTTCCATACAAGGAGGACAACGTTGCCGGCAGCCGCGTGCGCAAACTCGATTTGCGAAACGTAGTCACCAGGCGGATGTGCGCAACAAATCTTGACAATTAAGATGCTACGATAAAAAAATTATATAATATTGCATACTCTTACATATTCCGTCATGATGATTTTTTGCATGAACGCTTACAGGCGGCCGTTGACGTAACCGCGAAGATTTATGCATATCGAGAGTTTTGTTCGCGCAACACGAGATCTCGAGGATTTCTACTTCCGGCTTCAGTCGCTTCTGAGATAGGAGTTCTCAAGTGGTAACAGAGTCATGCCGCACCCGTGTTCGCCGGTGGACGAACGGCGCGGGGTCGCTCTGGAAACCGATTTACACGACTTTAACGATCCCTCGTGAAATTTACGAGCGGTTGCATAGCCGCGTGCCAGCTAAGCCCTCCCTCCCGTCCATGCCCCCTCGGATGCGGGTACAGAATAATTCTTTTACTGCCGCAGGTGTTGCTACGCCCTGCGTATATCATCCGGCTTGGTCGTGGAATCAAAAGTCTGGTTCCTGATAATATACATTTGTTTTTACCGAACCGAAGAATTTCGTTTGTATCATCAAAAATTATAGAATACATTCGTTTTTTTCTTCTCACATATATAAATCTATATAGGATCTTGACACTTTCGCGTTTTCCTCCTGTTTCTTCATATCGAGATTTTTATCTTCATATAAACAAGAAATAAAAAATTGAAGATTATTTAATTGCACGTACGTCATTGAGGGATAATTTTGAAAGAAGGCGTAAATTTATATTTAAGGACAAACCGCGATCAGAGCTGCACTCGCGGCGATAAGTCCATTTCGCGGTCGCATATGGCGATTGTATTACGCAGGGGGCACACGTCGCACATACTTTGTGCCCGCAAATTCGTTCCCGCGTTACGGTTTTCAATTTCTTCGCGTAATGCCCGGACGGGGCGATATTGTAATTTACTTCGCGGCGGCTCGTGGGGGCCCGATCGTCTCCCTCGCGAATGAGAGGCTCATCCGTTTCTTCGGACGGATTCGTTTCGTCTTAGCAACCGGCCAAGATAAAACGATTCGATAGTACGGATCCAATGCATTTTAAGCACCGACCTCCTTGATGTGTCTTTAACTTCGCGGAAGAGAGCGCGCGCACCCATGAGATCCATGGGCTACATGGATCGCGTCGTATATATGTATCGCGCACGATCGTTTCTCGGTGACAAAGTGGCCTCGCGATGAGGGGACAAAAGAACGAAATCAGAGGATGGACCTTTATGCATGAGGATGAGCAATCCGTCAGTAACGACCACGCGGTCTACAACGCGGAACGATAAGACTCTTCATTCTGTCCGAGATCCCTAACAGGCCTTCTTCGTTTTCGCCAAGCGCATTTTACTAATTCCGGCGCTATTAGATGCCAGAAAAATACTTACCGTTGTCCAAATTATTAGCCGCAATGAGATTTTCGCAAGGGTGCATTTTTGCGCGATGCTACAAGTGCTACGTTCTTCATTTATGTATTGACAATCTGTAAAAAGGATCTGTAAAAGACTGAAGGATTAAAGAGACATCTTCTTGAATTTTTCCAGGTACCGCCATGGGAACGGTTCTGACGACCATCACGGCGAACGACGTCGACAGTTCGCCGGCGTTGACGTATCGATTCGGCAACTTGACTAGCCCGGGGCCCTTCAGCATCGATCGATACGGCGGCAAGGTTGTTCTGCGGAAGCGTCTGGACGCCGAGACGCGTTCTGAGTACACTCTTCAGGTGATCGCCAGTGACGGGATTCACGAGGCAACGACCGATCTCACCGTACGTGTGACCGATATCAACGACAACGCGCCGCGATTCGAGCAGGCTGCCTATGTGGCTGTCCTTTCGGGTACGTATCGAGGGCACGCACGTTGCTCTCTCTCTTTTTCTTTGCCGGGAATGAGAGCGAGACGAGCGAGGCAGGTAGCAGATCGTCGAATCCACAACCGAAGCTCTGACGATGATCGGACATGATCGTCGCGGCGGTTATCGCGTGGCGTGCGCTCTAGCGAGCATAATTCTTTGATTTATTGAGGAATGATCACCATCGAGATTGCGCCGGTTGTTCCGGTGAAGCGGTAGCGTGGGACGAAGCCCCGAGACAAGCGGCCACGTCATCGGTACGGTACGAGGTCCCTCGCGGATACACTTTGTTACCGCGTCTTCGCAGCGCAAATCCCTTTGCGGTTTACCATCGAGGATCGCATACTATTAAATTAAATTCAGTCTATCAGTAGTCCATTCGATCTAATTACATTGCCGGAACTTCAACGTTTCAACGGTTTCGTCGAATCTCCCGTCGGATTTGGAACGCAGGTGGTCCATTTAGCGTTGTATTAAATTGTTCCGTCGTATTGTTCTTGTAACTTACACGCGAAATTGAAGTCTACGTCAAGATTACGGTTTCATCAGTCGGGATTCATTATCATTCATACCGTAAAGTTGTCATTGATTGCGTGAGTTCTGTCACCCCGCTAGACGATGCATCTCGATGTCAGCGTCTCGTCGAAAAAAATCGAAGAAGTGGCACAAAGAGATGAAGGAAAAAGAGTGAAGAGGGAGGCGAAGGGAAGATACGGGCGAACCCCTCGGCGCGAAATAAACGCGCGTTTAAAAACTGGTTTTTAGTAGACACGCGTTGTCCTGTTGCCCGTGTTCCAAACTCGAATTGACACCGCGCCGAGATAAAGCGCGCGAGAAAGGGCAGCGCGGGGGTGAGAGGAGGAAAGGCGAGAGAGAAAGAGAAAAAAAATGGATAGGAGGAAGACGATGAAAAGTTAGCTGTTCGAATATGGGAGAGAAAAAGATATAGCGAAAGGAGGAGGAGGAGGAGGAGGAGGAGGAAGAGGGAGGGAGATATATGTGTATAAAGAGAGGGAAAGAGAATGCGAGATCGGCAGGACAGAGCGGAAGGTGAAAGACGAAAGGAGGCGAGGAATGGGAGGATGGAAGGAGGGCTGAGGTGGATTGCGAACTCCTCGCACATAAATAAACGCGAGGACACCGTTTGCGAGGCAGCCAAAAAGCCGCCTTCACTGCAACCGGCCGGGATCGCCGGCTTCGAGAGGACTCTTGAAACTTATTAAAAATACATAGGCCCGCGCCTAATGGTGCATTTGGGTGGGCGGCGGGGAGGTAAGGGCAACCGGCGGTTCGGGAGGGTGGATTGGCAGGCGGTGGATGTGGAAAGGACTCGAGCGGGGAGCTCCCACGGCGACGAGAACGCGAATTTGCATCCTCCTCTTCTTTTCAGCTTCATCCCGCGCTTCGTTTCTCATGTTCGCGAAAAGCTATGCGCCGTTCCTTATGGGGGGACAGACGGAGGAACGACGGAGATGCTTCGCAAAAGGTTGCAGACCCGATCAAGCGGAGACGATTTCGACGAACGTTAATGAAGCGCCTGGGCGGTTAATAGGGCCGTGGATGTTCGTGAGGGTGATAAGATCAAGATAGATCGAAGACCGCTTCGCCGATCTCTCTCGCGTTTCCCTAAAATCGCGTGAATTTTAATTAAATACTCAGGAGCTATTAACCTACAGATAGAATCTACCTTTCTGCAAAGTACTTGTCCCACAATCAATTTAATGAGAGAGAATGAGGCTATTGGACGAACAGTGATACGAAGATTAACAGAACTATGTTGCGTTGATTAAGAAAAACCGAAATATCGTCGGGCGACAAAGATTGTAGGATTAAAAATAATAGATTAAATAGAGGAATGATATTGCTGAAAATATATTCGAATTCGAGTGAGAAGATGTCGTGATGCGCGCATGTGCATGCAATCGTGGTCATACACGCTTCGTAATAATTATATAATTCCTTTTTCCCTTTCTTTATTTCTCTTTAGATTGTTCTCTTTCGAGATGCTCTCGCTTCTTCTGGCTACGGCGCAAAATTTCCGAAGGAGGAATAAATGTCCCCCGGACATTTATTTAGCTCTCTCTTCCACGCACGTCATGCATCTATATCTTCTACTGCCTACTGCCTAGTGCCTTATACTTTAGATCGCGGCTTGGTACATTAATGCCGAGTTATCCGGCGATTTAAAATGCATCGAAATGATTTTTATATTCGCAATGCGCCATCGAGAGTCCGGATCCAAGGCACCGCGCGCGGCGCGATTTATATATAACTGGTTATTATTTCCGTTCGGACCTGATGTCAAGAAAGCTTATCCTCCTCGCTCGCCATTCGAAAAAAAGTGTCCGTAATGCCGGTCCTGCCGAACCGACGATGATAGAGAACGCATCCGCAACAAGAAGACGCGGAGAGTATTTGAGCGCGCTCTCACTGATCTCTCGATCTTTCTCCCGCGTCCCTGTCGAGTGGTCCCTCGTACAATGTACGACTCGATAATCGATCTCCCGAGAGTGCTTCTCCAGTCCCTGCCGTTCACTAATGAATGCCATCTCGTGTGACGTTATACGAGCTCTCTTTATAATTTCACAACTACAAATATCTTTCTCTTTATTCGCCAGGAATATAAAAAAGAAATGCGGGACGAACTTATGTTAATGTAATTACACGCTACGTAACGTGCCGATTTTTTTTTTTTTATTTCAGAAGAGCAAGGCAACCTGCAGGAAATTCTGACGGTAAATGCCACGGATGACGATCTTTCGGAGGAGAACAGCCGGGTGCGATATTATCTGCTGCGTCCTGTAAAGGGATTTTCGGTGGATCCCGTGACCGGCGTTCTTACTGTTAATCGCACAGCGATTCCCAGGCCAATGCCGAAGGAGATGGACCTGGCGATCGTCGCGGAGGATCACGGCAAACCCCCAGCGTCGTCGGTGTGCTCGATTATTGTGCGACTTAACAGTTTCAAGAATACCCTACCTGGGAGAGAGTACAAGATCATGGTGAAAGAAAATTCGCCGAAGGGTACGACGTTGATGAGGCTTTCCGACGTGGATTTGTTGGATGGCGCCATCGTTGCGGGCGACGATAGCGGAACATTCGAGATATCCAGGGATCGGTTAATTCTTTCGAGGACACTCGACCGTGAGACGAGAGATAGGTAAGACTTGAATTAGATTTAAAAATATGATTCTATAATTTACTATATTTAATTTATGTTCGACTATTGTTTCTCAATATTGTTTATTTTATCTAGAAATCTCAAATCACATATTTGCTATTTTAGGTATATGTTGCAATTGGGTAGCAAAAGCGAAAACAGAACAGACTCGCTGATTGGAAACGAGCCGATAATAGTGACTATCGTTGTGGAGGATGTTAACGACAATTATCCACATTTTCTGGAAGAGCTCTATCAAGTTTCCATCAAGGAAAATGCTTCGCATGGAACGACTATTGCTGTTCTACGCGCCAAGGATGATGACCTCGTGAACAGTACGGCAGCCACATTGGTGTACGATATTACTTCAGGGAATGATGGTGGTCTCTTCCGTATCGAGAAGACGACAGGTGCCGTTTTAGTGAACTCTACACTCGATTGCGATCTCGAGCCCGAAGTTTACAATCTTGTGGTGATGGTCTGCGACAGCGACCCGGCATTGCCTCTCTGCGCACTCGCCAGACTTCGCGTTAATCTGGAAGATGTGAATGATAATTCGCCAAAGTTCCCGGTTTCGGAGTATCTCGAGTTCATCGGCGAGAACGAACCGATCGGCACAACTGTCTTCTCCGCACGTGCCACGGATTTGGATCGCGGTGTCTTTGGATCATTGAATTATTCCATTGTTTCTGCTGCCGCGAGCGGATTCTCTGACATCGACGACAGCTGGAAGCTGTTTGCGGTTGACGAAAAATCGGGTATTGTCATCACTCGCGCCGTATTCGATTACGAACAACGAAATCGATATGCTTTCACGTTGCGTGCCACGGACATGGGCGGTCGTACCGCCGCGGTTCGTGTCAGAGTGGAAATCGATTCGAGGGACGAATTCTTTCCCCAATTCACTGAGAGGATGTATCGATTTGGAATAAAAAAGGGTGCTCAAATATTACCTGGCACGATAATTGGTCACGTGACAGCGACCGATCGCGACAAAGGACCCGATGGCCGGGTTGTGTATCAACTAACATCTCAGCATCCTTATTTCAAATTGAATCGTACGACTGGCGCGTTGATTGTGAAGCAAAAATTGATGCACATTGATATGGACGAATCATCCAGATTAGTGGTCAGCGCGAGCTCTGGTAGACAGGGCTCTTTATCGAATATGACAGTAGTAGAGATTACGTTGATGGATGATAACGAACCTAATGGAGCCAGAGGCGCTACCGCTCTGGCAACGCCGACAGATATCGGTTCAAACATGGCCGTGGCTACTTCAGGGGGCCTGGCTGATTGGGTCCTGGGTCTGTTGATCGCTCTCCTTCTTCTTATTCTCGCGTTCGGTGCCATTTTTCTCTACCTTCACATTCGTAATCGCCGTCACAAAAAACCTGGCGCTAAACCGGGTTTGAACGGTGAGAGCAATGCTACCGCGTCAAATAGTTACGTAGACCCAAGCGCATTTGACACGATTCCAATCAGAAGTATGACTGGAGTCGGGACAAGCGGAAACGGTAGTTCCGGAAATACCGGAGGAGCGGGCGGTGGCGCATCTTGTCAATTTGCCCCACCGAAGTATGATGAAATACCTCCTTATGGAACATCCAGTCAATCCGGACAACAGCAAGCCACTTCCGAACTTTCCGGAAGCGATCAGTCAGGTTCTTCCGGTAGGGGATCCGCCGAGGATGATGGAGATGACGAAGAGATCAGAATGATCAATGAGGGTCAGCAAACTGGCGATTCAGCGAGCGATCTTTCGGTTCATAATACTCAGGAATATTTAGCTAGATTGGGTATCGTAGATCCTCCAGCCGGCACACCTAGAAGACCTCCTGAAGCTCTGCCTCTGGACAGTCTGCATCTGTTTGAAGACGAGGCAAGCACTGAGGCGGATATAGCAACATTGATCTATGGTAAAATTGGAGAATCCGGACGACCCACTTCCGGTTTGGAAGTACCGGGTGGACCGTCGATGAATGGTTCCTTGAGTTCTATCGTGCACAGCGAGGAGGAGCTCACTGGCTCCTATAATTGGGACTACCTATTAGATTGGGGACCTCAGTATCAACCACTCGCCCACGTATTCAGCGAGATTGCTAGGCTAAAAGACGATGCCGCCAGCGTTCAAAGCGGAAACTCCGGTAGCAGTGGTAAGACCAAGTCTGTACATAAAGCACCGCCGCCACCGCTACTTACATCCGTAGCTCCGAGATCATTGGCGGCGCCAGCGCTAGCGAGAGGCATTTTACCGAGGTCGCCGATCAATCACGATGCCTCTACCTTCCCCTCCGCTGCGTTGAGTCCGAGTTTTTCTCCCTCGTTATCACCTCTGGCTACAAGAAGTCCCAGCATCAGTCCCCTCGTACCACCTGCTACTCAGAGATCCAGTCAAAGTGCCAACAGAGGAATTCCCGTCGCCGACACCGAGTTGAGGATCTGAAGACACTTCAATTTTAATTCGACGTATTCCGCGTACAAGTTTTAATGTTAACTTCAGTGATGACTCGCCGAGCAAACGATATCGATAAGACAATGCGGTACCTCGTGATAAAGCAATGCGAATTATATTTCTGTTAATATGCGTTGTTAAATACGACTAATTAATGAATTTATGTATATTTCTCTCTGAGACTGTGTGCGAACAACGTGATTCGCGGATATGGTGTTAACAAGTGATTTTAACTTAGGAATTTCAATTTCGTCGGCTATCGGAAGAAATGGCCGAATTCTGTCACGCGCAAACGCTACTTTCCCGCGATTAATTGTTACTTATTAACTAATTAACGAAATGTTAATGGAATATAAAATTTATAAATAGATTTAATTCATTGCGAGAAATGGTAAGAGCAATTCATGAGTGACACAGGATGTGAGAAAGCGACGATTGCGCCTTGACAATTCCGTATCTGTTATATAACACGAACACGTCTCTTGTTCCGATCGATAGCTAACTGAAAGAATATTTCTTTCTGAACAAAAGTATTGTAAATATCCGTCAGCTGCGACGACGTTTAGTCATTAAGTAGCATTGTAAATAATAATCTATGAGAATAACGAATGTTGTCATAATCAAAAAATAGACTGCGTAAATCGGAAGTTAATAGAAACAGATGGTCGCGCCGTGCTTATCGAGTTCTTTGCGTGAATATGTATAGTAATCTAATTTTATAATCGATCGATTCTACGACGAGCACGGTGATATCATCCGAATTGAAAACGAAAACGTGCTACCACGAGCGAACTGATTACACACCGGATTTCATGGCAGCGCATTTCTAAAGGCATCTATATATAACTTCGTTGATTAATTGTTACTTTGTCTCTATCTCCCGAGCGCGATCTCGATGTAACGGGAGAAATGGAATCTCAGCCCGGCACATATATACATATGCACTGAATATATATATATATATATATATATATATATAATAAGTATATATATATATATATATATATATATATAT